CGGAAGGCCCCGTTCCCAACGGGCCTACACCTGCCCTGGATAGTGGGGTTCAGCTCTGCTCCCAGGGCCCCGTGCTGGGAAGACTGCAGGACAGGCGGGGGAGACAGCTGTGGGGACCGGTGATCAAAGACCCAGGGCTTCCCAGAGAGACACACACAGACACTCTCCCGCTCAGGTGCCCCAGGCCCAGGGGTCCCAGGCAGGACAGCTCAGCTCCCTGCCCATGTGTGGAAACTGGTGCCCAGTCAGTACCTGCTGGATAGCAAACAGCTGGGTCCATGTGGACGTGCCCACCACTCTGTTCACAGAAATTCCTGACCTGTGGGGAACGGCAGAGGTGGTGGCCTGAGTCTGAAACGGATCGACCATCAGGTCCCCCACCTGTCCCCCTGGGTCCCAGGGGGCCCTCCCATGCAGCACCCACAGCCCTCTGCCCTCCTCCACTCCAGGGGTGGCCTGCACCTCGCCCTTCTTGACTGGGGAGTCCAGAGAGTCCACTGGCCCTCCCTCCCTTTGCCCTGTAGCCGGCTCTGAGGTGCACGTGTATGTGTCTGTGTGTCTGTGTGTCTGGGTGTCTCTGTGTGTGTCTGTGTGTGGTGTGTGCAGCGGCCCCTCGGGCTCTCACCCCACCTGTGTGTGGTTGGGGGCTGTTGTATCAAACCTCCACCGAGGGGTGGGCTCCTGGACGGACAAAGGCTGGGGAGGGTACAGGAGGACGTGTGAGGGAAGCGAGATGAGAGAGACCACCCGTCCCATGGACACACCAGGGACCCTGCTGGCCTGGCCCAGTCCTCCTGACACACCCCCACCATGGCTGAGCCCACTGGGGCCAAGGGTATGACTGAGAAGCTGCAGATCCCGGGTTGGGCGGACCATGGCCAAGACCCCTGCTCCTGCCAGGAGCTCATCCTCCAGTGATGGGTGCGGGGCCATGAAGACCCCAGTGGGCAGCTTCTCGGGGCTCTCCTGGACAAGCAGGAGGGGCTGGAGCAACCTCTGGGCTGGATGCCCCCTGAAGGGGCTGTCAGACCCCAACCTCAGCCGAGGAGGGTCAGGGTGGGACCCTCAGTGGAAAAGGAGCCCCTGGAGAGCTCAGAGGCCCTGGGGGGCCACCTGCTGAGTCTCAGGCTGGTGAGGGAGGCCCCCCCACTCCAGTGGCAACTCCAGGACCGTCTCCTCGGGCCTCTGGTCTCTGAAGAACCACTCAGGGTCCTGCTTCCCACAACCCGGGCCCCATCCTGAGCCTCCATCTCCATCAATGCTGCCTCCCTCGGCTTTTGGGAAACAAACTTGTGCGCTTGACCTCGGGCCGCTCGAGTGGGTGGTGGGTAGCGGGCAGGAAGGAGCAGATGGACAAAGACAGGAAATGATGGGAATGATGCGGACGTCCTAGACGGCGCTGACCTTTGGGTTCTCTGCTTGTTCTTCTTAACCATCTCTTCCTGATTATTACATCAATGCCTGCTAGTTAAAATCCACTTTTAAAATCCAGAAAGGCATAGAGAGACCATGACAGGCAGGGGTGGAAGCTGAGCCTTTCTGGCCCGGCCCCTGGGTCTCCCATGTGTTCTGCATGCCACCACCTGAATCCTCTGCCTCCAGCTTCCTCCCCAGTGTTGGAGGCCAAAGAGCTCCTGGCGGGTGGGCAGCCGGGGCCCTGCCAGCTGAGCCTGGGGGTTTGTATGGGAGGTCGGCTATGGGGAGGGGGCTGGACTGAAGGCCACAGGGAGCCAGGCTCTGGCATGGCAGAGTCTGTGTCCGGGTAGAGCTAGTCAGAGGGAGGAGGAGGCTGAGGGGCTGGGCCCTCAGTGGAGGTTCCCCCCCGGCCAGAGCCCCTGGAGTGCCCACACCCTCAGGTTGCAGTCCCTCAGCCCCCTCAGCCCCCTCGGAGGCTTGCACTGCAGATCCGGATGTGAACTTAGGGCCAGATTCCACCAGGAGCTTCCTCCCCTAGGAGGGCCCCAGCCGGTGGACTCGAGGCCCGCTTGCTGCCCGGCAGGTGCACCTCAAGTGACTGCCTTGCCCGAGCTGCCGCACCGCCCCTCGGCGCTTTGAGCAGACCCCAACCCCAGAGCAGGATCTCAGGCCCCAGGGCAGCTCCACCCTGCACACTGGCCGCAATGCCCACGCCCAGCTGCCCAGGGGACCCTGGTGGACTTCTCTAGGAGCTGACTGGACAGGACAGGCTGGGTGCAACCACCACCCCAGGCAGTGAGGATGGTCCCCACTGGGCAGACAGAGGCTGGATGCCAGAGAGGTGGATGAGGGGCCAGGCTCCCGTGGAGTCCTGACCACCACTCCGGGGCCGCCAGTCAGATCCCCACCCAGGAACCCTTCCCACCTGCCAATGTCTGGGAGTCCACATGGGCCCGGGCACTGTGTCCTGATCCCTGTCACCTGGGGCAGGGCCCCCTGCGGGGTCCAGCCAAACCCTGGGCACCAAAGACCCCAAGAGTGGCCCCCAGAACACAAAACTGACTGGGCCTGGCCCTCCCTCGCCCACGAGACAGAAAGTATACTTGCTGGCCGGGAGGACGTGCTTGGCGCGGAGCTGACTGGTGATAAGGGGTGTCCTTCAGGACCGCGCCTCCTCCCTGCACTCCGTGCCTGGCGGGGCTGAGGGTGCTGCAGCTGTCCGCTCAGTTCAGGGTGCGGCTTGCTGCCCCTAGAAGGTGCCTGCCTTTAACCCTTGGTGGGTTCTGCCAGCCCACTCCAGAGAGGGCGGACTGTGGAACCAAGCCCTGTCTCTGCCCTGCTCCCACACTGCCTGCACCCCCGGGAGTCACCGCAGCTCCCTGGGTTATGATCCACTGATTCTCTCCACCCCAGGGGCAGGCAGGCTGGGTCAGTGGCCCCGACAGTGGCACAGCTGAGGCCTGGTGGCAGCTCACCACAGCTGTGCTGTGTGAGTCCACCCCTGGCCTCAGTGTCCCTACCTGCCAATGGAGGCCTTGCAAATGGCCGTGCTCTCTGGAGGCGTCAGGTTAAAGCGGCAGTGGCCCTGCGACACGGCAGCTCTAGATGTCTGGCCGAGGGGGTGGAAGCACTGCCCCGATAGACTGGAAACCTCTCCAAGGCCCCCGTGCAGAGAAGCAGGGGAAAACCCAGGTGGCCTGTCAGCCACGTAGACTGTAGCCAGGGGGACACGGCCATGGTACAAATTGTGAAGTTTATCTGAAACTGGACTTTAACTGGGTGTCCTGAATTTTAATTTCTAAATCTGGTGTCCCTACACCCTGTGTGTGGAGGGGGCGTGGGCTTGAAGAGGCAGGTGACAGGACCCAGGTCCGGGCCAAGATCCCGGCGGGCGGCCCCTGGAGACTTCAGGGCACGGGGCTTCTGGAGTCCAGATCCTGAGCCGGGCAGGCTCGTGACCAGCGTGACGTGGGCAGAGGCCCCTGCAACCCTGGGCCCGTGGGAAGCTGGGTGGGTGCTGGGTCCCCAAGACGGGGCACAGGCTGGGCCGTGCAGGGAGTTAGCAGCTCTGAGGGTCTGGCGGGCCAGCGGGAGAGGCCGGAGGGGCAGCAAGGAGTTAAGCAGGGCCTGGGACCTTCCCTCTGCGTCAGAGTTTCAAGGCTGCGCCTCTGTGACTCCCTCGCCGGGGAGATAATCTTGGCTTATGATGTTTTCTTTCTCCTCTCCGGGTGTATCCGGGGCCCTCCCCCGCCAAGGGAACGTTCTTCCACCCTCCAAGGCCACGGCGTGGATGGCCCTTCCCAGGGCACCCCGACCCGAGGGAGGACTGTGGCCACCTTGTCCAGACTGCTGAGCTGGCATAGCACCTGGCCCAGAGCTGGGAATGCGTGCACACACGTGCCCACTCCCCCTGGGTCAGACCCCAGGCTCAGCCCAGGTCCCCAGCCCCTGGCCTTGGCCCCAGCACGGTCACCACTGCCAACAACTTGGGGTGGAGGTCTCTTTCTCACTGAAGGCCCCAGTGAGGGCTGGGCCTTGGGTTTGGGGAGGGGCCAGTCACTCTCAGGCCTCTCCCCTCAGTAGGTGCCCCCGGCCCCATGGTCTTCTGCGTCCTCAGCCTGATGACCCCTGGGGAAGATGCCTCTCCTCAGGCCGGCTCAGCGTCCCTGACCCAAGGCCCCTGGGGGTCCCCGCAGCTTCCGGAGGACCCTCAGTAGAGACCTGGGTGGGGTCAGTCCAGGGTTGCGAGTGCTGAGGGGCACAGGTCACGTCCTGCCTCCACCAGCCTGGCCCCCACTTCGCTGAGGAGGAAACCAAGGCCCAGATCTACAGGGAGAGTCTCGCTGCCCAAGGACCTGGGCCCGCCAGGGCCAGAACCAACACCCTCTCAGCTCCAGGTGCCTCCCAGGGACCCCTTCCCACTCTCCTGGTTGACGGAGAAGCCGCATGGCCTGGCTGGGTGGGTGGGTGCTGTGGGGGCACAAGCAGCCCACGGGACTCACTGCCCCGACCTGGGGGAGGGCGGGGGAGGCTGAGTGG